GCAGGGGGCGGAGCCTCACGGCCGCGGCGCTGCGCGGCCGGCCCCGGGCACAGCAGAGACCTTCGGATCTGGAGAGAGCGCGGGTTGAGGGCTGCAGGTGCCGCAGCCGCTGGGAGACGCAGCGCACACTCCCTGAGCGACATCAGTAGGCCAAAAGGAGCAAACGCACGCACCGGAGCACACGTGTGTGCACAAGCGCGCCCCCGTGCACGCACATGCGAGCACACACGCACGCGCACAGCTTGCGATGTGGTTTGAAGGCAACTTGAACTCGGAGGGGACTGCAGCAGAGCTCCCTTCTGAGGGGAGCAGGGGTCTATACCGGGTTGCCAACCCGCCAACATTGCCCGGGAGTCTCCGGGAATGAGATACCAGCCTCCAGGAGACTGTCGGGGGTCACCCGCGAGAGGAATGATAGGGCATTCAGTCAAATAAATGTTACATCCAATGTATACAGTAGTCCCGTGGGTTTTCTAATGTATCAGTAACGTGCATTTGCCTTCCTCGCGTAAAGTCTACTCCGTACAGCAGATCAGTCGTTAATGTCACTTGTCATGTGAGGAAACCTCCGGGAATAGATGCAAATAGAGTTGGCAGCCCTCTAGCTACACGTTCCAGGCTGAGATTATGAGGATGTAACCTTTTCATTTCCTCCAAGTGCAGATAAACGCTCACGAAGCTCATGAACCAGAAGTAGACTCCAGGTGTCAGCGGGATCCCTGGGCTCATGGTACGGGCGATATCTTTTATTAGATCTTTTATTATCTTTTAGTTTAAATATCTTTAATTGCAAGTTTTAGGGCACAAGCACCCTTCATCAGGCATCAGAGAAAAGATGGTAAAAGTTCTCCTGAGTAGAAATGAAAGTTCATACTTCATAGGGTTTCACACAGGAGTCAGCAGATGGAAAACTCCTCTAGGCAGGTAAGTCTTAGGTGGTAAGGTGTCTGTCAGCTCTCTTTTGAGGCTTTGTGAGGATGCAAATTACCCTGAACAGAGGCAGAAGCAGTATCTCAGGTTTCAAGTGGTCAACGTTGCTTCCTTCTTGTGAAATTACAAAGATTTCATTTAAAAAATCACTAAAATTCAATATCTTCTGTGTGTCAGGTATTCACATATCTAGATACCTGACAGCTGGATCCCAGCTCATTCAGGGAACAGCCTGGGGGAAATGATGGCAGTTTTACCCTGTCCCATGAAGAGCGGGCTGCTGCTTGGGCCACCGGGGGATGAGGAGACTAAAGCTGAGCTACCACCCTGCAAATGCTGTTGTCTAGGAAGTGTTAGCCCATGTGCATTGGATCATGTGGCAAGGCGAGGCAGGTGGTCTTCCCCATCACCTATAGCTCAATAACATTATCTTGTGTTGCTTCCAGGTACAAACTGGAAGTCAGTCTACTGCTTAGCGAGACTGGCTACAAGAAGATGAACCAGCTGACAGATCTGTGCCTGGACTTCAAGGCTGAAATCAGTATTCCACCTTTTAGATGAAATTGGTTAAATCCCAATTAGAGAGAAACAGAGCTAAAACGGAATAAAAGGCACTTTGAGGTTTGGTTGCCTAGTGACAAGGAATTCCTCTGCAAGTCTCCTAGGTAAGAGGTGAATAAACCTGTCACTCACTAAGGCTCACTCATGCTGCATGGTCAGAACATGAACAATACTGGTTGTGTAAAGATCATGCAGCATGATCTCTGGTTCATGGGACTGAACCTCACCATGCTTGCTTTCACCTGAGTCTTCCTTGGCAAGAAATGGGGAAAGCTGAAATCTGACTTTTAGTTCTGGTCAAAAAGTGTAGAGCTTCACACAGCTTGCACACTGACTGCTTCTGAGCCCAGAGTACCTCACACACCTGTGGACGGGGGTTGAGGGTTAGGATGGTTATCCAACATTTCCTAGTCAGTGACAGAGGAAGAAGCTGTCAGAGGAATCAGCATGAAGATTTGACTTCAGTTACTAGGAAATCAATTATATAGCTTGATCTGCATACTGTAACTGACCCAAACATCAGGGCAAGGAAATCCCAAGGACTTTAAAGGATGCCAGAACTACTCTTTTACTATCCTGGCAATTTACTTGTCCACAATAGGCAGGTTATTGTACAGATAGCAGCAGTTATATACTGTATTAAGGCTAACACTGGGTTGTTTCCTTTTGTGTGTCAGAAGCCCAAATATAGATCGGAGGATTGGTATAGCCTGCTTCTTCTCTGTGATACTAAGAAGCAAAAGAGCAAATCTTTTGCAAATGTTGCAACTCTGGATCAGTTTCAAAGACAGCCTGATTAGGCACTCATTAGTTATAGTCTCTAATGTATGATATGATATGAATTATTTCCTCTCTCAGTAAGCTAGCACATGTAAACTTTCAGAGTTAGACTGAGAACTTTGATACTGATACAGGACAAATCTATCTATATTCAGAAAGAAAAGACCAATTAAGTCTAAGCATAGTACATGTCAAGGACTGATCCCACTCTGTCTAGGTACTTCTAGCAAAAATAAACAAGATCTTGCTGGGTTTTGTATCTTTAGATGCAGCTGTATTCTTATATCCCTCAACAACTTCTGAAGCATAGAGGAATGTATTCTCTTGTGCATGTACACATTTGCATAAAAATAAATAAATATGTACATGATAAGGAGAGAATGTATGTCTTATGGGCCAGTTTAGGTCTTTGAATTATTTCCCCCTCTTAATGGCACTTAAAGTCCTGAGATTTTAACCTTAATGCTTCATCATTTTCAGATTCATATTTTCTACATAAACTACAAAGTATTAGTAAGAAATATTGTTCCTAAGTCACTGATACAGAACATATAAAACAGATAAAGATTAGATTCAGTTGTTACCTAACATATCTGACAAAATGGCTTATCCACAGTTCTTTTACTTGCCTAACAAATAACAAGTTTCTGTCTTTCCATGAGAACAAGAAAAAGATCTCAAAAGCATGCTGTATTTGAAAAATAAAGCAGAGTGTGGGAAGGGAGACGAGTATTTAAAAATATCTGACATCAAATAGGGCACACTTCCTCTGGTATAATGATAATGCATTTAGAAACAAGACGGCAGATGCTGAGCCTCCCCCTACCTTATTGGACTAGATTTCATTGATACTCATTCTAACATACTTTAACTGTGCAGACCAGCCTAACTAGAGCACATTCTTTTTATATGAGGCTTGTTAACAACATTACATTTTCTAAAAGAAGAAATTTTGCAGCTGCAGTGGGAACAAAGAGCATGCAGTCCTACGCTGCTTTTCTCCAAAGCTTTCACAATGAACAAGACAATAATGAGGTACATAGATGGTCAGAACCCAAGACTATTGTATTCAGTTACCTATCATAAGAATTGTTTTTGGATCTTTCAACTGAAGTAAGACATTCCAGTGAATGGAGACATTTCCCTTCTACTTTCAGAACTGCTTCTCTGTACCGGAGATCTAAATGTGTTTAATCTGGGACCTCAGAAATTGTCATAGCAAATAAAATGGATGATCTAGCTCATACTGTCTATTATAGTGATGGGACTGGAGACCAATCTCAGATCCTCATTTTCCAAAATGTTATTGGCCAATGCTACACACTTCATAGGAGGTTATAAAGACTCCACAAATGTATTAAAAAATACTATTAATTTAAGTAAAAATGATTATTTATCCTGGTGTTTCACTTTATTATTATTCACGCTATCATTTTAATTAGTATCTGAGTATTAATTATCATCATTTTAATTATTATTATTCACTTTATTATTTATCCTGGCTTCACACTTTATTCTTGCCCTTGGATTGTGTAGCTGGGAGATAGAGCAGCATATCCACTATCCCACAGATATGCATTTTATCAGTAGATTGAGATTCATGTTGTAGCCACAGTGTTCCAGGAATTATGGAAGAGGCAATCTTAGCAGTATCATTTTACAAAAGTCACCTTTATTTTCACTCATAGAACTAGATTTGTGGCTGTGAAATCCCAGTAAAAGCCAGTTGTGTGGCTAGAAGCCTGTACAAGCTAAACCCCTGAATCACTGGAATTCAGGGACTTTATTCCCTGAAATGGACTTCTTTCTGATTAGTGCTCGGGAAAGCTCACAGTCCTTACTGCTTATTGTCACAGTACTTCTAGCCAGTGTAGAATGAGAAATCAGTTTTTTCTCTGTTTAACTGTTACCTTTTTTTTTTGTGCTTCACTTGAGGCTCAATATGATATTAAGCAATCAGGTTCTTGTGACTCAGTAGCCTAGGTTACAAGCCTCCATGTGATAATTTTTCAAATATGTATTTCCAGCTCTAAGCACCTTGATGCAGTGCTAGAATTGATATAGGGAGGAAAGATGGTATGGTAAAATAAATAGCACAGGACTTAAATAACATTGCTTCTACTGTGTGATATTCCTACAATAAGTCTCACAGAAGGACAAAAAATAATATAATATTGTATATATAAACCAAAAAGATTCCTTAGTCATAGTAGACTTTTGTCCTGCTGGCTAAGACACAGAGAAAGAAAGAGAGGGAGAGAGAGACTAGATCAGTCTTGAATTGCCTGGATTACAACTTATGCAGCAGTTTTGTATATTTCTGCATAGGAAGTACTTTCTGTTGTGTCCGGTATAGAGGCCCAGCTATATAGGCCTATATTTATATTACTACCATAATTTAAGCTTTTGTTCCTTTTCCCTCCCTTACCCCAAACAACAGGCAGATTTCTTTTTGTGTTACTTTGTTGCATCTCTTCTCAGATTTCATGCATTATCTACAGGGAGTCTCAGCTGAGAAGATATTGGGATAGGTACTATATAACAAAGTGTGTGTCAGGAAACAGTCTGTCTTGTTGGTTTCCTTGTGCAAGCATTCTTTGGTGCT